GTCACAGGTGCTGGCGAAACGTTAGGAAACAAAACTTCAAGAACATGGCCACACAGCCCGGAAGACCCACACCAGCCATCGTATGCCGGCCGTGAAAGCCTTCGACAATATTAAGAATTTATTTACCAGCATCTGTTTGTCATTGTTAATTATTTAAGAAAATTATGAGGTCCTAGTTGAAGCTCAGAGGTATTATTGTGTAGGATGTTTCACATTTCAAGCCTGAAATATATATGGAATGGTCAGAGCAACTCATTTCAAACTAGAAACTGTTAACTAAGAAGAGAGTGTTTCAGACTCAAAATGTTTGAAATTCTAAATATTTTTGCACATTTCTAAGTCAGAAGCATTCATTCTTTTTGATCAAAATACATTTTTAAAATATTAAAAGTCAGGTGGGGGAATTAGCCTGAAAAATGTCAAGAAAAGTGTTGAGGAGACCTTGAGTTCTAGTCCTTCCTTAGGCATAAAAACCAGATAGGTGACTTTGGGCCAGTCACTCTCTCTCTAAGCCCAACCCACCTCACAGGGTTGTTGTTATAGGGAAAATAGGAGGCAAGAATATAAGTTATATTTGCCAGCTTGAGTTCACCAAATACATGTAAAAAAGGTGGGATAAAAATATAATAATAATAATAATAATAATAATAATAATACAATTTTTATATCCCAACAGTTCCAGAGACTCCAAAGATCTATAAAAGAGATCTGCTTCTTTGAAAAAAAATGGTTTACCATGATTTTCTTATATTTATTTTTGAGTCTATGTTTTGGATCTTATCCAACAGACTCTGCTTTTGCTGTTTGACCTACTTCTTTTCACTCATTCGCTGGGTCTTCCTAGATTTTCCTTGAAGATGAGTCATCTTTCTGCACACATACTAATGAGTACCAACAAAGACAAAGATCTGATCACTGTACCTTCCATAAGTTTCCCCGTTTGCTCAGCACTTCCACCTGGTAGAATCCTTGCAATGTAAGCGCCAATTTCTCCACTGGTTCCAGGAATTTCTTTCCCACCTACAACTCGGATCCCAAGTCCATTGCCTGCATTTAGAAAAGAAAGCACACAGTATTTTTTTTAAATATATGGATAAAAGCTGTAATTTACTGTAGTTCTTGTAATAAGCAAGCTGTAATTGTTTTTACTGTAGCTGTTCAATACTATACTTGTCTATTCAGAAGTATGGTTTGTTTCCAGCCAGATAATATGAACACATTTATATCCTCACCTACCCTTTATATCCAATTGTATATATTTGATCCCCAGATGGGATCAAAGTGCAAATAAAATAGCTCCTTTATGCTGCTGTTTCCAAACCTCTGTTAGCTACCTCTCTTCCTTAGGCATTTTTTTTTAGTGGTCTTCAATTTGTGTATTTATTTCTTCATTTCACTTGTCTTTTTTCTGCTCAAAGCAGCCTAGATAGCAAGGAGATCTCCCCTCCTCTTCCCTCCCTACAAGAACTGTGAGGCTGGTTGGGCTAAAAGAGGGGATTTGAACCTGAATTCCCCTGAGTCAAGTTCAACATTTTGGTTACACACTGAGCATTCTGAATAATATAATATATGACATATTGTTGTCTGGATGCTTAAGATTCTTTGTATTATTTGTAAAACTTCCTCCAGTCTTATTTAGTGCACATATTGTATAAAGGGAAATTGACATTTTATAAATATAGTTTATATGGTGGGCTTTCCTCTAAACTTCAGAAAATGTCCACAGGAAGTGCTTTCTGTTCCTGGGGAACAGGTATCTAATTTTAGCAAGAACTAGCAAACTCGCTCTTTATAACTTTTCTGTTTCCAGTTTTTTTGGCAATGCTATCCAAAGTGATTTGTCATTTTCTTCTTCCTATGGCTGAGAGAGAATAATTGGTCCCAAGTTACCTTAGCAAGGCCATTGACTCATAGGGTTTGGTCCTGTGAATTGTTGATACTTTCCTGGAATAATATTTTAATGTACACAAATAGATTTATAAATTCTTTAGCATAAGGATGTCAAGGTTATGTTAAATTATGTACCAAAACATTGGAATTTGACTATTTTTGAAGAATTATGATTGTACTGGACTTGGGGTATTGCTAAAAGACATATTTTGAGAAATGAAAAAAATAGTACTATTCTTGGTATCAAGGACTGGATTCAAGAAATGTGTGACTTGAAAAGGCAAAAAAAAAAAAATCCTACTAATCAAAAAATGACTTAGCACATTTTTCTGTGGAACAGATTTTATGATAACCTTTTTTTTAATGGCAGAGCATTATTAATTACTTTTTTCCATTTGACATTGATTAATATATGACATACTAATATTAATCCCTCTTTACTGTTTTTTTTTTGTTCAGTTTTATTTTTACGCTTTTTAATCTTTTTCGTGTATTTTTCTATTTCCATCTGTAAAACTTGTCAAGATAAAATATTAAAGTGAAAAAGTGTGCTTGCAAAATAAAGGCAGGAAGACCTTGACACAAATGGCACACACAGTGGCACAAATAAAGGATAGGCAGAGGGAAAGATAAAGAAAGAAGCAGTTGGAATTCCTATCACTCTCTTTGTACTCCACTGCTTCTTGTTGTTGGTTGTGAATTGCTGAAGAGTCAGTGCCTTGAAGCCACCCAACCCCACAAAGCTCATCCCCGCTTTAATTCCAGCCTTGCCTTGCTCTTTCTTCGCTGTTCTAAATTTTATAATTCTGCCATCAGGTAGCTGTATCTTTATAATCCTGTTGTATCTCAATAGAAATTTACAATCAGGGATCGAAGTCTGATCAGACAACAGAAAGAAGAAAACGTGTTTCCATCCAGGGAATTGTTTCCATGTTTCCTAATGATCATTATAATTGGTATGAATAATCTGCATAAATGCCCCCAGCTTTGCTGGTGCAAGTAGTCTTGCTGTATGTGTTTACTTGGATGTCATAGCAACAATACTTATCTTGAATTTGTTTTTATGCAGGACTGAAACCTAGATAAATGATTAAGTATCCCGGAGACTCAACCGAGTTTCAAAGTAATACAGAGGATGTATATAAAAATCCCCCAACCAAATTTCTCCAGCAATTTTTTTGTCTTTGAGTCAGTCTTGACTCCTGGAGTCTTACATAGACAACTCCATGCAGTTCTTTGGGCAACATTTTCAAAAGCAGTTTGTCCTTGCCTTCTTCCTGGGAGTTCTACTCCCAGCTGGCTTCATGCCTAAGGCAGGAGTAGAACTCAGGGTCTCCTGATTTCTAGCCTGGGAAGAAGCCAAACTGGCTCTCTTCTCTAGCATATGGGAGCATAGATTTTCAATCAGTCAGTGAGTTAAAAAGAAGGCCTGGAAACAAATATGGAATGTCCTGAGCCATTCTTCATAAGAATGGGATAGAAAACTTTAAATAAATAAGCAAATCTATAAACATTTTATGGACTGTTTTTTCAGTACACCCTCTCCTTGTTTAGCAACTGCAATCCATTCCTTATATTGGAAGTGAAATGGTTGCTAAGTGAACATGTGACTGAGAGAGAGATCTGCTGTGAAGATCACTGGTTGCTGCCATCTTATTTAGATAAAGTTCTCTCATACAAGTGTCCTGTGCCTGATCCATTTCCCCCCCTTTTTTGCCCCCTCACAGGGCAGAGAGAATGCTTAAACAAGCTATCTCTTCCTGAGCTTCTTTTCTCTGCAGCACAGTGTTTCCCTAAAAAGTGCTAACTGCAAGTTAACAAGCTCAGCTCTGTGATTTTAATTTGTTGATTAGAACCCTCCAGCTTCTGGCACTGCTGCATGAAAGTGACCAGACCTTAATCAGTTTTACACTGAAGGTTTTTGTTGTCAGGTGCATGAAATTTGGTTGTAAATGCACGTATTGGTTGAAAAAAAAAATTAAATTACCTTTGTACTTGCAAAAGGTCGCTAAATGAGGTAGCTGCTAAATGAGGAGTGGCTGTATCATATCTTTGACAGAACTTTTGTTATTTTTAAGGAAGTAGCATTTAATAAACATTGGGCTCTGCCATTGCAGAATTTCAACCTTTCTCAGAAATGAAAAATCCTTCTTGTGCAAGTCAGTCATCTCATAACACATTTCCATACCATATAATCCAAGCTGGATATCCTTGTTTGCTTTACCTGAAACAGAGTGATCCTTCGGGTCTCTCAACAGCTTCAGCCTTGCATGGGGAAAGATGTATTGGATAGGCTTCCCAATAATCTAGGGAATATAAAATGTGAAGCCAATTAAAGGTAAAACATGCCCATTAGGTAAATAGCTACTTTGAGTTAAAACATTAGTCTTGTAAACACTATCTTTGGAAATACTTCCTCCTCCTTTTTAACACACACAAATATAACTATTTGTATTTGTAAAGGCACACAGTATGAGAACTATCCCATTGTAATTGTGCACAGCAATGTTGATCCTGAGGAAGGGACAGCATCACTCTCATGGTTTGAGCCAATGGGTGTAGCTGACTGCTTTTGTTCTTATATTCTAGTCTAGATAAATTGGAATAAATCATAGTATGCTGCAAGAGGGTTTTTTTACTCTCTAACTGAAACTTCTAAGCTGCTTTTATAAAGAAATGTATAATTTCAGATATGCCATATTTTATGATGTCAGCTTCATTGACTTCCAGTTGGTTCCTGAGCCAAGTCAATTATTTGCCATGCTCTTTTAAAACCCTAAAAGACCCCCTGCTGCTCAGTGCAGGACCTGCTGAAGCCTTTCAGACAAGCCTTTCAACCTCTGTTTGACCACTTCATGAGGCAACTTATTCCACTTCTTGACAGAATTTCCCCCTAATATGATAGCTGTCTTTAAGTAGATGAAGTGCACTCCTGCAGAAGATGGGGCAGAAATTTGTTCAGAGTTGTTCTAGAAGACAAGACAAGTAACAATGGGCCTAAATTAAACTTAAGTTAGATATTGGGGATGGGGTGGGGAATCACCCTTATATTTGAACTTGTAATTATATTTCAACTAATACATTGATTATTCATTCATCTTACTGGGCAAATATGCCATTTTGATTGTTACCAGTTTGAACAATTTAGATCCAAATATCATGAAGGGCATTA